TGGGAAACACGTAGTAACATAAAAGGTACAACTTAAGGCAGGGGTGTCAAACTCATTTTCACTGAGGGCGACTTTAACATTATGGCTGCCATCAAAGGACCAGTTGTAACTGTAAGACTGTACAAATGTTACTACTACTTAACATATTGTTAAATAACGGTCTCTTTATTTTATTATTACTTAAGTTACAAATACTGCATATGCATTTGCATAGATGTAAAATATATGTTATTGCTCTGTGTTATTTTGACATAAATCCTTTTAATTTATCAGGTTAAGAAATCCAAATTACTCCATAAATCAAAGTAAATAAAGACAAGTATCATCAAACACAGGTCATTACATTAACTAACTTTGTTAAAAAGTTTGTTACATTTATGGTACAACAATTAATTGTGAGCTGCTAAGAATGTGTGACAGATATGGCATTTAAAAAAACAAATGAGTCCAGTCTCATGAAAGTGCGTATAGCACGATTTTCTGTTTCTATTTGGCATGCGATTTATACACTGAAATTGACTTTGACGTGCTACATCCGACTACTACGCTGTTTTTGTGTTTACGGAAACATGGCTCAGCAACAGCGTTCCGGACTGCGCTATTCATCTCGATCAGCTGACATGCTATCGAGCGGACAGAGTTCTCATCGAGGGAGGTAAGACCCGCGGCGGCGGGCTTTGTGTTTACATCAATGATGCATAGTGGTCTGCAAACACTGCTCACCCCTGGTGGAGTTTATGATTATTAAGTGCCGGCCATTCTATCTACCGAGAGAATATACAGCCATACTGCTCGTTGCTGTATACATCCCTCCCAGCTCCAACAACAGCAACAGGAGCGCGGCACTAATGGTGCTTTTCCACTGCATGGTACGGCTCGGTACGGGTTTTCCACTGGTTACAGTACCTGGTACTTTTTTTAGTACCACTTCGGTTGGGGCTCCAAGTGAACCGTACCGTTACCAAAACGTGACGTGTAAACCCTGCTGATCACGGATTGGCCGGAGAGAATCGTCACTACCTGCGTCACTGAACTTGCAACACAAACACAAAAGAACCGCTAGATTTAAATCAGCACAGCCTTTTATTAAGGAGTCGTGGTAGTAGAGGCGGCCGAACCGTGCTGAGCCGAGTCGTACCACGCAGTGGAAAAGCGCCATAAATTAACTGTACCAGCACATCAGTGAGCAGCAGACAGCCTACCCCGATGCTTTTCTCATCTTGGCTGGTGATTTCAACCACGCAGACTTAAAGAGTGTGTTCCCAAAAATACACCAACACATAGACTTTCCAAAATGGGGAAACAACACTCTGGACTTTGTTTACACCACCCAGAGAGGAGCTTACAAGGCCCTCCCCCTCCCCGGTGCCTCAGACCACATCACTGTCATGCTAATGCCTGCATACAGACCGCTCGTTAAAGTCGCCAAACCAGTTCACAAACAGATACAAGTGTGGCCGGAAGGGTCGTCAGAGGCTCTTCAAGACCACTGACTGGAATATGTTTAAGCAGGCTGCCACATACAATAACGCCACAGACCTCCAAGAGTACTCAGAGACTGTCAATGCCAACATCAAGTGTATTGATGATGTAACAGTCTCAAAGACCTGTCCAGGCCAACCAGAAGCCGTGGATGACAGGGGAGGTCTACAGACTCCTGATGGCTCGGAACACTGCCTTCAGAGCTGGAGATGAAGTGGGCCTGAAGACAGCTAGGGCCAACCTATCCCACGGCATCAGAGAGGCTAAGAGACAGTACTCCAGGAGGATAGCCCATCGTTTCAGCGACAGCAGAGAC